AGAGAGAGAGAGAGAGAGAGAGAGAGAGAGAGAGAGAGAGAGAGAGAGAGAGAGAGAGAGAGAGATTCACCTGTTTGCGGCCATCACTTCCCAAGTATGTATTCATGAGACTTTCTTGTATAAGCCTTCAAATTTCCGAGCAATTGCCTAAGTGTTCTCATTTCATGTTTGGAGCTTGGTGTGATGAAGTGTGGACATGCTGTGGTGTGAAAAGCTGTATGAATTTGTGGGATCAGTGCAACATGTTTAAAAAAAGAAGAAGAAGAAAAGTCCTTGTGTGAGTATAACAGAAGACATACACCATCGGACCTTGCCATCATTTTGGCATAGAATGTATACCGTGAAAAGTAAACTGATCGACATTTCATATCGAGAGGGAAATGGAAACTGTAATCGTTTGCGTATTGAATGAATCAGCGGTTTGATGTATCAGTACATCAACCAAAATTTGTCACAACTTTGTGGTTAACAGGGACCCGCACTTTCAGCTCCTGACTCAAATTTGTGAAAGCGCACTTTTGCCTTGCTGTTTTATGTTTTTTTTTAACTTCTTTATTTTATTTTTCCTTTTTTTTTTAGCAATTAGTTAGTATGGTCTCCAGAGTCCAGACCCTCCACTCTATGAATTGGTGGCAAGTTTTTGGTTAAAATGACCCCCTTGGGCAGATCTGCGTAACAGATCTGAGAGGAAAGGGTGACGCACGGCAAGCTGACAGTCAATCCTCCACCAGGTTGGAGTAATCAATGCTGCTCAGGGGTCCTTCGGCCAGACGGAAGGAAGCGTGGGTATATCACATTTGTAAAACTATTTTGACTTGCCGGTGGAATAGGAACCGGACTGATGCTCCCCAGAATGGAAAGGAGCCAGGACCTTAAGGCCCTGCTTTTTTATTAAAAAAAAAAAAAAAAAAAGACCCCCTTGGGTTTTGTTATAAATGGCATGACAAGCAACTTGAAGCAAGTTGTCTGAACATTTGGGCCTCTGTTAACCGCCTCTCAAATTTGAAATTTGTGAAGGAGTGTTGCCAGGGCCGCCACTTGACCCACCGGCCCAGATTCTTCATTTCCGACCAAGGGAAATGAAGTTCAGCAACACAAACAAAAAAGAAACCAGTTGGTGAGACCATGCCTGGATCTGCAATACAAATGGAAACTATCTTATCTCATCTCATCTCAACCTCTCTTTCTCTTTGTCTGTTTTGCGGCTTGTGCCTGTGTTAATGTGAATTTCTGCAGTGTGAAGTTCGTCGTCGAGGCACCCAGAGGCATACGAGGAAACCTGTTGGACAGCTTGGACTTACTTCAGTCAAAAGACAACTTCAAGGTAACAGTGATGAATTACTTCAACAGAGGGAAATCTCTGCCGTCGTCACCCGAATACAATGTATGGTCATTTTTATAGCTGTACTTGGGGCAACTTTGAGTCTAGTAGGTACAGCAATAATGACTGTATGTTGTATTCGGGTGACGAAGGTAGAGCGCTGGAGAATCATTGCAACATTTGTGAAAACTGCAAAACTCAGCAATTGCTGCAACTGTGGGGAGGTTACCACCTAGTCCACTGCCAAGTCTCTTCTTACGAAGTCCAACCGGATGCCGCCAATTTGGAAATGCGATTTACACTCACTTTTTTCTCACTGCTGAGTCAGTGGTAGCTGAGGTGTCTACTGAGTCAACAAGTGTGGGGTCAAATGGCGGGTCATCTAATGTGTGAATTGTGGAGTCACACGCGGAGGAGAGAGGGTTAACGACGGCCTAAATTTTCGGACAATTTGTCACACCAGTTATGCTAACACCCAAGGGCCATTTTAACCAAACTTGCCACCAATCCTTAGAGTGGACAGCAAATTAACTAACTGCCCAAAAAAAAAAAAAAAACTATAAAACTGCAAGGCATTAAAAACAAAAGTAAAAAAAAAGTGCACTTTCGTGCAAATTTCGCCAACGTGCGTTTTGCCCCCATGCTTTTTTCCTTGGTTGGAAGCACTCAAGTCGTCCTGGCATCAGTAAGTACGACACCAGGAGGAGCAAAACCGGGTGGATGGCTGAGACAGATATTAAGGAGCAAAGTGAGGTGACTGAGACTGACGGGGGTGGGGAACTAAAGGGACCAAGCAGGAGAGCAAGGAACAGCAGAAGTCTCAATCCAGCGACAAGCAGAAGGAAAAAAGTTAAAAAAACACTAGGAAGCCAACACCTGAGAAACAGTCCAGGACACCCTGATTACTACTGCGTTTTGTGGCAGTTCACAATTGTGGGGTAAGACTCCGTAAGGGGGATTACTCCAACTGTTTTCCAGAGTAGATGGACAAGAGGTAGCAAGGGTCTTACTTAAATCACTATGGTTAAGGTCAAACTCTGGTTCTGGAGAAATTATTGGTAACAAGGTGTGGAGCAGTAGTGCAATCAGACTCGTTCTCGTTCACACTTTTCATTCCTGCGTGAGCCATGCGGAAGCGCTGTCACAGCGTCTTGTGCAAGGAGGTCTGCAGTGAGCCCGGAGGACGCAGTGGGCGAGAGAGAAGGAGTTAGTATAGCGATAGGGTAGAGGCAGCCATAGCTGCCATAGCTGTAGTTAGTGTGAAGTGTGTGAGTGTATGTGTGAGTGTTCAGAGTTACGTGTGTGGAATATCCAGGGTGATCCGGTGTGTGTGAACAGTGAGTTGTTTGGGCGCTAAGTCGCCATAGTCGCCAGTTTGCTGTGCTGCTGTTTACATGCATGAAAAGTGTGAACGAGAACGAGTCCGATTGCAGTAGTACATCCATCCTGTTAGAGGAAGTAATCAATTCTGCTGTCTGAGCATTGATCCCTAAGTTGACCATAACGAAGGGCATTGTTGAGCGTGTTGCTGATTTAAGGGACACCCCTGATTTCGTGTGCTTACAAGAAACTCACCTGACGAACTCAGACGACCAGCCCAGAGTACTGAGAAACAACTCAGAAGACCACCAGAAACACAGTAGCCCGGAGTACTGAGAAAGTGCAATGGGTTAAAGATGCCGGTTGGGCGCCAGCCGCTCGACCTTACTCCTCTGGAGTTTTCAGCATAGACGTGCTGCAGCAGTCAGGACTCAGGAGGGTATTAATCGAAGGCTGGGAGATTGACAGAGAGGAGGGACGTTGCGTGAAACTGAAGTTTCAGTTTCACTCAGAACATTACAGTCTACAACGACTCTAGATTGCATTTATTGCCCCAGCGGACTTCAGCCTAGATCCCAGGCGCTAACCAGACTGCAGGCAGAACAAGAGCCCCATCGCCACATCATCCTTGCTGGGGGCTGGAACGCAACGCTCGATCCCAGCAAAGATCGTATGTCTGGTGCGTATCAAGGCTGGGATGCTGCGATTTGGGAAGACGCACTTGCCAATTCATAGTCTAATGACAGAATGAGACTTCATTGATCCATACAGGCTATATTACCCCGGAGAAAGACAGTTCACTGATCGTAAACGGAACTGCAACCAGCATGTCTCTGCGTCTCAAACAGGCAGCTGGCAGTCAAACGCAAAGCCAGGCAGCAAGAGCTTCGGCAAGCTCTTAGACTACTGTCGTCACCCGAATAGAACGCCCGGTAATTATCGCCGTATCTGGGCTGAAAATTGTGCAAAATACAACTATAATGACCGGACATTATATTCGGGTGAAGAAGGTAGCGGAAAGTAATCTTATTATGCATCCAGGCTCTGAGCTATATGAACGAGTGCTGGGCAATGCCAGATTCGAACTAGGAGAGTGAGAGAGGTGGAGAGCATGAAGACTCCAGATGAGAGCAAGGTTCAGGGAGTGGGAAGAAGGGAAGGCGAAGGACCAAATATTTCTTCCAGAAGATCTAAACTAACGGTGGGAACTCGGCAATAGAACAGTTAGAGGGACCCGATGGGCTCACTTCTTCGGTATGGTCAAAGTAGCTCATGGCGTCTGCAACACCCTCTGCACCTCGCGGGAACAAGAGTACCCACGAGATCAGGTGCCCTCGGCAACGCTTCTATGACCAGGTAAATTGGAGTTTTCTCCAGCAGTGTATGGAAGCAATAGGGGTAGGACTGAATTTTAGGAAGTGGATTAGGGTACTGTGCAATGATGCTTACAGACAAGTACAGGTGAATGGACGTCTTTCAGATCCATATCCAATGTCACGCTCTTCTTAGGCAAGGAGACCCATTGGTGGCACCTATCTTCTTGTTGTTTATTATGGAAGTAGTGGCATCGTTCCTCAGAAATGACCCCTCAATTCAGAACTTAGTAATGGAACCGGATCAGCAAGGACGGGAGTTCGCTATTCCGACTACCACTCTATTTGCAGACGACCTAACGGTCCTGATCTGTGCTTCGTTCTCCTCCTTCGAAGCCCTCACCAGAGCAAACATGCATTCCAGCTAGCCTCTGAAATGAGAATTAATTGGTCGAAGACGGGAGGGTGGTGGTTAATTGATCAGAACGATGTGAGACCTGGTCCAGCAACTAGCCCGGAGGGCATGCAATGACTTTCCTTCCGGGCGAACCCCTCCATTTCCGAGGAATTAAGTTCACAGAAACGGGACCGCATCACTCCATGGCCCTGGATCTGTTATCCAAGATGTTAATGAAGTTGGGATGTTGGTCATCGGTATATACCTCCCTATACACAGACAAGCACTAACCTTGAATGCACACAGAGAGAGAGAGAGAGAGAGAGAGAGAGAGAGAGAGAGAGAGAGAGAGAGAGAGAGAGAGAGAGAGAGGGGGGGGGGGGGGGGTGGGAAGGGGGGGTTATGAATGAAAATAATGTCATATCATTGAAAATTTTATAGGCACATTCAAGGCTCATGGTGGACCAGAAATCTGAGGGTATGATGCTGAAAAAGGAGAAATGTACGTGGCGATGGTAACGTGTGACCAATGTGGCACATGTTGAGTTGTTGCAGTCAAGCCGTAGGGTGCTGAGAGACCGAACATTCTCGGAGCTCCCCCTGATCGTCTACAGGATTTGCCTTTTCCATGCCTTAGCTCAGGAGCGCCGAGCATTTGGTCCACTAGGGTGAGTGAGTTTACCAACCCAACCCAACCCACCTTTTTAATGAATGCCTTCCCCCTTCCACTCCTAATCATAACACCGGCCACCTTATCTATCATCAAATCTTTCATTTTCAAAATTCTATTCCTCTTTTGAGTCTTTTCCTTCTTCTTCTTTCTTCCAATGCAAAAAGGGGATAGCCTAAAAAAACGTCCATCTTATTTCATCATCAAGATTCGAACTCATGGTCTGTTTATCAAGATGTACATATGTGTAGAATTTACTATTTAGCCACATACTCTGGGTGACCTATTGTCAATCTTGCTGCTACGGAAACTTAACGAAAAAAAAGAAACCTTGCCAAAATTTTAGAACTTTTTAGGAGTGTGTGGGGAGGGGGGGGGGAGGGAAGAAGAAAATTTAGCCAATCTGCAGATGTCATCCAATGAGCAGAATTTATCCAGATAGCCCATCCATTGAGTGGGATGACAACAAAGAATGTGTCTTTCTCATGCACTGAAGATTGTGAGACTGTACGTCAGAAACTAGAGATCGTATTGCTAAGTAATCCCATCTTCCGCATTGTTGGTCCCACCGCTATTTGTCAGTTTGGCATTGGGGCTGTGTTATAGCAAGAAGACGAGACAGGACTGCTCTCGGTCGAGTACATGCGCTGAAAGCTAAACTCCCAAAAGGTCGCCTTCTCCACTTATAAACACAAACTCTCTGCACGTCCGGAAGTTTTAGAGTATCAGAGGTATTACCTCCTCAGACAACACTTCAACCGTTCAACCGTTTCAATGTTTTTTTTTCTTTTTTTTCCCCTTCTTTCCATGTCTATTCAGATCATAAGACTTTGCAATCGTTTGCAATCATTTGCACTCGATAAAGAGTTTATTAAAGACCCAGCCCAAACTGAACACCACACCGACCTGAGGAGATCAATGTGTACGGCGGCTACGGCCTTGAGTTGAAGGTTGAAACATACGAAAGGTTGTTACAATCGTATTGCTGATGCTTTGTCTCGCCATCCTGAAAATATGAACTTCATTGTCAAGTCCTTGGATATATTCTCCAGACTTCGCAAACCAATAGTGGAAGCAACCTCGAAGGACCGTACTTCTTGTCCTATCTGGCTGACCATAGTAGCAAGCATGATTTTTGCTTTCATACGGTATGCTGCTCCACGCGCATGTGGGACGTGATTGACTGTGTACCTAATTGTAAGTCAAGGCGCTCTAGAATTTTGGGCAAATGTCATGACAACCACGGTCACTTCGAATTTTTTAAAACGCGTGCGAGGTTATTCCTGAAATTTTACTGACCTTGTATGGACTATGGAGGAATTTGCCCGTCAGTTGGTGGAAACGAGTTTGCCAAAGAAACAATTCACCAGCAACAGCTCCTTGGTTTGCTCAAACTACTTCCTGTTCGCAAAGGCCATGGTGAATCTGTTTCGATTGACATCATTGACATGGGCAAAGAACATAGAAACGGGGTTTTGTAGATCATGGTTTGTGTTGATAGATTTTCCAAGTTTGCCAATTTGATTCCCTTACCATCCCATGCAACCTGGTGATCGAGGAATTTGAGAAACATTACATCCTCGAATGGACCCTCCCGAAACAATTGCGAGCGATTATGGTATGTGCATGCTTCATTAGTTCGCAGTAATCTTTCGCTATCGAGCTTTACGAAGCACAGATGACCATGACCTCAGGTCGCCATAGGGAAGCTAACGCACAACCCCAAGAATGAACCAGACAGTCACACAATCGCTGTGTTCGCTCATTGTCTCTAATCAGAACAATTGGGACRAGGACCTGCCAGCAAAAAAAAWKCACAATGAATGAACCAGACAGTCACACAATCGCTGTGTTCGCTCATTGTCTCTAATCAGAACAATGGGGACGAGGACCTGCCAGCAAAAAAATTGCACGATGAATGAACCAGGCAGTCACACAATCGCTGTGTTCGCTCATTGTCTCTAATCAGAACAATTGGGACGAGGACCTGCCAGCAAGAAAATTGCACAATCACTCGATACATTCAAGTACCGGTATGAACCCAGATGAGTTGCAGGTCGGTTGGGCAGTTCGCAGTCCTATGGACTACTTGCTGCCTGATCGACATGCTGGCCTGACCCTTGGCATGCTTTACTATGGTGTGAAGGACCAGAAACTGCTTGCGGGTCATCTTAACAATGTCCAGATAGCCCGAGACCCTTCGCAAAGGTCCACCATGCAAACAAGCGCCACATACCTGCTGCATTCAAAGTGGGAAACTATGTCTCCGTTAAAATGTCTGAATTATCTGACGAGGAAGGAGTGTGACACAACTGTTGCCCCTCTACCACAGATGTTCGTTCACGTATTCTCAAGGTCCTACGAAATGAGCATCCTGGACCTTCCCTTCATCGTTGATCTCCTTCCACATCTGTGTACGTATCCGGTCTTTTGTGCCTTTAGAGTCTAAACTCTATCCCTTCACTATCTCAAATGGATTTCCCGGCAAACCATCTATGATCCCCCACCCCATCAGTGATGGCTTTGAGGTTTATTGCTTCTGCAAACACAAAGGCAAAAGACGAAAGTGTGAGCATTTGGTGTACTTTCTTTATCATCCACTCGACAATTTCCACTTGAATCCTCGATCCAAGTAGCAGACAACCCGCAACTCGTATTGTCAAAGCATACAAGTGTGGACTGATGCGTGACTACAACGTGAGCGAGTGTACGCTTGTGTTTTTCGCATTATGTGCCTATGATGCATTTTGCGCAGATCCCTAGGTTCTTTCTAGCTCAATGGGACCTTGCTTCTTGGTCAGTGGGATTGCAGTGACCCGCACATAATCAGTTTGAGATTTAATATTTATGCAGTTTGATGTGCTAAATTTCCAAGCCCTGACTCAGATCGCTGTTTGATTGCCTATGTCTAAGTCCCGATGCGATAATTGCTCGTACGAACTACGTTCTCGTACTGTGTTATCTGTGTCCTTGGAAGGGGTAGTTTGGACATAAGGGACACTACAGGAATAGGACTGAAATTGGATCCCGGAAAGATGGCTAGAACGCGTAGGATGGACAAGGACATAAGTAGAATTTGGCTAGTACCCGGTAAGGAGTTTCCAACAACTTGGCGAGGCCCAAGTAAGGCCCAGTAGGCTTAGAAGATCCCAGTAGCTTCCAAAAATATCATGAGTAGTAAGGGCCTGTACCTAGTTAGCTTGTAAGTCAGATGCGGGCCTGGAGTGTGAAAGTGAAGACCTCCATGGCTATGGAGCAGTAGTAGTAGTAGTCGTAGGGTGTAGGCCTAGGCTATGGAGGTGAAAGGTGAAGAACCCCAAGCTCGGCTATGGTGAATGGTGAAGGGAGCAAGTAGAGGTGGAGGGTGAAGAACCCCAAGCTCGGCTATGGTGAATGGTGAAGGAAGCAAGTAGAGGTGGAGAAAGAGGATGAAAGAGAGAACCGGCATGGGAGACTCAACTTTGGCTGTGATAGACCTTCATCTCAAATTCCTTGGTTGGCATTGCATCTAGCAGGCCCATGTGTGGGAATTGTCTGGTCTTGGACTTCATCCGAGAGTGTGGCTATGGCGAATGAGAAAAGAGAGGCATATTAATTGTTGCCTTGTCCTTTGAACATCTGCGATGGGCATGGATGAAACACCATAGATGGAGATGCAACCGAGAAGAGAGGAGTGAGGTTGAGGCTGGAAGGAGGTCTCTTTTAGTGTTTGTAATAAGGAGGAATACTTGGACATGGTCCCTGTTCATTCATTGATTTTTGTTCTAGCTGATTGATTATAAGAAGAGGAGGAGGAAGGGAGAAGAAGATGAGATGGAGAAGAAGAGAGGGAGAATATGTTGGTTTCAATTCTTCTTCCATTCTTTTCATTATATTCTGCTTTTTTTTTCTCTTTCCACTTCTACTTTAGAGTTCAGCAAGTGTCACATTTTCTCACGTTTGAGTTTTGCAACACGGATGGCGTAGGGTCATAACAATAAATGCAAGGGCTCTTTCATTCCCTCTTCAGCCTTCAGGACTCTCCGACTCAGAGCTCCCCCCATAAGCACCTATCCCATTGCTGAAGTCACTGATGTAGTCCCTTCGCAATAGTTCAATTCCATATGCAGATCCAACCATCAACACGAATGCCAACTATAGATGTCGGTTCTCAGCACCGCTGGCCTCCAGATTCAAACTGCTGACTCAACGTCACCAGCAACACCAGGTAAGTCATGTAAGCCTCTCTCCACTCTCCGTCAACACAGGTCTGATCTCCCTCAACCTATCTCTCTCTCTACACCTAAGCTACGGTGCAGGGCTTCTACTACTCTAGCTAGGCTACCTGCGCTCCCGCTCACTCTCACCAGTACTCGGTCTCTGCCTCCTCCAGTGCTAGCACTTTCGGAGCAGTGCTCCAGCATCCAGCAGTCTGAACCAGGGATGAATTTGCCGGCTGCGGCAGGTCAGTCTTCTTGTAGTGTTGACTTTGACTTGGTTGGGCCTGCCCACTTTTACCTTCTCGGACGGTTGAGATTTCTAGATCTGTCTGGCACAGGTTTACTATCGGCCAATGTGCGCCTGGACCCAGCCGGCCTCGGAAACTTCTGGAAAACTGCATTCAACCATTGTATGTGTATGTGTATTTGGCTCTTTGACTTTCCCAAAGTCGAGTACTGATCCATGGGGTGCCTCTTTTGACCCTACGCCCAGGACCTTTTGACTCAAGGACTTTTTGGCGCCCGCTCAAGGGCAATGGATGTGACTTTTGTTGACCCACTTGAGAGAAAAATTTACGACTCTAGACTGCGGAGATTTTGAACCGGGTTCTTTGCACTTTCGCCGTCCCGCTTTTGAGTTCCATCCCAGGAACCTCAATCTTCATCAGCTATGGCTTTTCTTTTTAATTCTCTTTCATAACCCACAATAATATTGCAATAACCCATGCCATATGTCTCGTGGAAAAACTGAGGGCCAACTCGACCACCCTCAGCCCAGGCCGAAACGGGGGCAAAAAGA